AGAGATAGAGAAAATATAAGAACCTAAATTAAGATTAAGGGTTGAGTAGATTAAATGCCCAGATTTAATTAAGGGACAAATGAATGAAGAAAAAAAAATGTGGGAGAAATTTTTTTGTCCTATGTGATAATGAATGAAGCGGTGAGAGAGAGAGAGAGAGAAAACAAGCACCAAATAATGAGGTGTAGAGGGGTAAAAAGAGAGACACAAAAAGCTACTTTCATTAGCTTTAGCTTTAGCTTTTCCTTTATCGTACAAAAAAAAGGCTACTTTCATTAAAGTAAAAAATATTTTAAAAGAAATTAGGGATGTGGCAGGATTTTGGTGCCCCTAAAAATTGGTTGGCCCTGGTGGGCCCTGGGCGGTCGCCCAGCTGGCCCTGCCCCAGGGCCGGTTCTGCTTGTAACAATTACTAATGTGATTATGTGAGTGATTGGACCTGAAGTAGGTAATGTATTTCAACATTTCATGTATTTGAGTCTCTTGATTATTTATGGGTCCATCACTGGTAACAGCTGTAATTTACAAAAACTACCCCTGATGTATGGTTAATTAAGGAGAAAAGAACACTGCTTATCATGATTCTTGAGGGTGTTTTTGTAATTCTGAAAGATGGATGGGTCATTCTGTAGTTAAGCTAAAGCACTCAAAAATCCATAAATTTTGTCCTAAAAATGAAAATTCACACTACAATTTTCATTGTTTAACCATGAAATACAACAATATGCAAGAAGCTTTAACAAAACAAACTTCAACTTCTGCATTACAGGACACTCAATTCCATGCACCAGAACAAGTCCCCCATAAGAAAAATCTTGTGATCAAAACTCAAAAAAACTTCAAGAAACCAAAGCAACAATTCACGAAACAGGTGCTTCAGCTTCAGCTTTCAAGCCTCAAAGATTTCCCATTGGACGAAATAATCTCAGTTTCCCAAACAGGTGCTTCAGCTTCTAATTCTGGCTCTTCACAAATTTCGGCATCCACATTCTCTCCACTGTGGTCAACTTGAAGTTGTTTATCATACTCCACAACCATGCGAGTAGTTTCAAAAGCATGGTCCTCCGTTACATAAAAGCCACTTGTTTTTTCAGGATTTTCTTCAGCTTCATTGGGTTTATACACCACGTCATGGATGATAGTAGCCACCTCAAAAGCACAAAACTCCCTTGGCAGAGAAGTGTTTTCTCCGGACTTTGTAGTCGGTGCGGAAACTTTGGGACCAATCTGCTCTACATTTGGCTGATTTACCTTTGTACTAGCTTGAATATCAATATTTAGGCCATCACTCACTTCAGCAATTTGAACATCATCAGATCTTAGTTTTAAGTCACACTCGTCACCACAAAATTCTTTAACGCAACCATGATTCTCGTAAATAAACAAATGTATTATTATTGAATAGAATATTGCAAAAAATATAATGTCATATTGTTTTTAAATAATTTTATAATATTTAAATAAAAAAACATTTTTTTTAGAAAATTCAGTTATTGTACTAACAAGCCAATTTGCCTGAGTTTGGACGGAGAAAATTTTGGGAGATGGATTTGGGGGAAAACTTTGGAAAATTAGATATGCAATAAGAAGAAGAAATAAGGTAATTATGACTAAATATAAACACTTGCCTTGATGGAAAACTTAATCTAACAAGGACAAGGAGTATCTTTGATTCAATATAACTTGGCCCTTATCAAGTCGTCTAACTCACGCAGCCGCAGCCCGTCTTCTCTCTAACCAGGTAGCACACTTGTAAAATCTCTCTAACCAGGCAAGTCACCATTGTCTCTCTCCTCCTTCACCCCTCTCGTTTACCGTCTGAGCTCTCACGGCGGTCTCGCTCGTCGTCACCGGTCTTGCCCTAGGTTTTCATACTTTCTGAAATTTCATTCTTGTGTTTATTCCTAGGAACCATGTCCGGATTGGGTCAGCCTTCTCCTCCAGGTATAACATCATCATCTGCTATTTTTATAATTTTGTATGTCGGTTTGATTTCACTTGTCTTGTTAATAATTTTTTTTTTCCCCTCTGAAATTGTAGATGTTGCGGATTGCATGGAAAACTTGCAGCTTGATCCATCTGGTATACTTTTTATTATTATTATTATTATTATTATTATTATTATTATTATTATTATTATTATTATTATTATTATTCTTACCCTTTCCATGTCTGAATTTTTTCCCCTGTTGGCAGAATAACATTTTTCTCTTGTTCCTATCTAACTTTCGTGGTGGGTGTCAGGTTTAATTGAGGAAGAACAAACTTTGTCACAAGCAATGCAAGTTGAATCAGATAATTTCATAGAAGGTTGGCTTTTCGAAAAACTAGATTATGACTTATAATGTGAGGTGCAATATACTTCATACGTGTAGCTAGCAAATATTAATTGGTTAAGTCGTTTCAGTATTTACATATGTTAATTTTTCTTGTGCTTCAATCTGTCATTTGGTTGTGCTACGGCCAGATACTTTGTTTTCTCTTACAATACTATGTAATTTTCTAGCTCCCTAGGTTATGTCCATGATATAAGCAATACTTTTCTTGTTTGTTTGATTGTAGAGTTAAAAATTTTGTTTTTGTTTAGCTCAGACTGTTGTGAAATAATGTTTACCTTTTTCTTTATATTAGCTTTCAAGAATGTTTATCAGAGTATTTAAGCCAGCCATTTATCTGGGAGTTTTTTTTTTTTTCACTCTCTTTTCTCCAGGTCTTGCTTGATTTTCTGCTGTTACATATAATTTCACCAGTTCTTTGGATCATTATTTGTTTATACAATCTTAGTAAACATGATTTTTTTTGCCGAACTTCTACATTTTTCCCCTTCCCTAATATTTCCTATGCATGCCTCATGAAAAAGTCGACTACTGGAAGCCACATGAAATACTAAACGTTCGGTCGGCGAACATATTTCCACCCAACTATAATTTTCGTAAGGTGTGCTCCTGCGATGAGTGTAGCGCCATGATTGATGAGCTCAATGACTTCGCTGAGAGCACAAGATCCCTACTTGAGGGTGTAATGGTACATATACAAAAAACTTACACGTGTTAACATGTATTGATGGTATATTCACATTTTTATTGGCTCTAGCTTTTCGTTTGGTTTGTGTAAACAGGACATTACATCCTTTATCTCCCATACAGTTGACCACTGTTTCTATCTCTCACAAGCATGTAACTGGTCAGCACAGACACTCCACAAGTTTCGGATTTTGCTCAAAGAAGAGAATGAGGTGTGATTCTTTTTCATGGTTAGTGCTGACATAGATTTCATTTTGTCTAATATTTTCCTATGTTCACCAGAAGCTAGGAGTTCAATTTACTCTTCAAGAAAATAAGTTTCGACACAAACATATTGAAATCCAAGAAGTTATAGCTGAGAGTGGCATCGTGCCATATTTTGAGATCAATAGAGCTGAGGATGAGATCGATCCATCATGTGTAGTAGAGCCTATACGTTTTGACATCGGCAGCCGTGGGGTAAGATAAACTTTTGGATGGTGTAAATTTCCTTTGTTTCTTGGATTTTTTTTTTTTCCACTTAGTTTTGAATTTTTTGTTTGAATTTTTGAATTTTTCTTGGCTAAATCCCTTTTGTAGAAGCTTTATTATAAGCCTTCTAGAGTTCGGGATGTGGCACATGCATTGTTGGATCAGATTTTAAAAATTGAAGATGAGCACAAAGCACTGAAGGCAGAGAAAGGTATAGAGGTGGATCTTTGCCATTTAGAACGGCAAATTAAGGTGAAAATCTTTTATGTTTAGTAAATTCATCATATATAATATGAAAACTTGTACTGATCTTTTATTTAATACAACTTAATTATGTCTATGCTTATGCTTAGTGCCTAGAGCAGCTGCCTGTCGAGGAGCTTCTTTCAGAAGTTGTAGATGTCATACGCACAGTTCGTGCTATCATCCCCTTTAAGGCAGAGTTGTCATCCATCAGGATGTTCATCACAGGAGTTTGTGATGAAATGATATGTATAAGGAGATCATTTTGGCAGGTAAAATTATATATAATGCATACATGCTCATATTTTCTTATGTCATTAAATTATAATAAATAAATATATTACTTTTTGTTATCATTCAGGATTACAAAAGCTTGTATGCACATCTCCCAATCGCTGATCGACATTTTATACTGACAAAAACTATTAGAGACTTGCAGCAATGGGTTTGTTGATTATAATTCTCCTATGTTAATATTATTAACAAATAGTTACTGATTCCTAAATGATATTTTTCATTGATGAATTAGGTTATGCATTTTCGAGGTAGAGTGGAGGCTGATAATTTTTGGAGTTTGAGCATCTCTATCTGTGAATCATTTGGTCGGAAGCTAAGGCAACAGAAGTATCCAAGGGAAGCTCGGGAGCAAACTGGGAAGAAAATGAAACAGCAAAGCTCGAGTGCAAATGCAAAGGGCACAACAGAAGGCAAGGTCAAGGCTAGCTCGGAGGCAAAAGGAGATGCAATCGAAGGGAAGTTCTAGAGTCGAGAATTTGTAGATGCTATGAAAACTAGTGTTGTGATGGTGATTGAAAATGAAAAAGTACTTGTTGTGGAAATTGGATATGCAGATGACTACATGGTGGTGTCGAAACTAGGCAAACGTCAAATTGATGTTAATTGATGTTCTATTATATTTATATGCAGATGGCTACAAGGTGCTGTAGAAACTAGGCAAATGTCATATTAATGCCAATTGCTATTGATCTGTCTCTAAGTTTTGACCACTGTTTGTTGCTAAGGACAAAGGAAGGAACTGAGAGTTTAGAAATGAGTCATTTGCAGTCAGACTGATTATGGTGTGCATATTATTCTAGAAAACGAAGAATGTTGTTGCTGCAACCTTTTATTGCTAATTTTGTTGGAAAAGATTTCTATTAGACTCTAGAAAAAACTGCAGGAAAAAAAAAAGAAAGAAAAAGCAAGCAAACCACAAATACACACAAAGAAGATGAAAAATGGGGAAAACAGAAAAGAGCAGTTTTAGGAAAATAAAATAAGTAGCCGAGGAGAGGCTTAAAATTATGATCGTAGTGTGTATACTCGGCCGTTAGTCGTGCTACTCGTCTTTCGCCTTTCCAAGTCGTCTATGCGGTACCACCGTGGGGGCCCGGCTGTCTTGGTGGCCTTACCGGTGATGGCACCACTCGACCGTTGTGCCGCGGACTTAGTAGCCAAGCTCAAACAGACGCATGTGACTGCCCGGGCCAACTTGGAGGCAGTGATGGCGGCTTATAAGAGGCAGACGGATCGTAGTCGACAGCATGTGGAATTTGAGGTCGGGGATTTTGTTTGGGCTTTGTTCACTAAGGACCGCCTTTCAGCACATGAGTATAACAAACTGTCCGTTTAGAAGATTGGCCCCGTCGAGGTCATTAATTTGTTGTGTGGTAAAATGCAGGTGATAGGATTTTGTGGAGTTCAGATAGTTTTGAGCTGTGTTTTGGATTTAAAGTAGCTTAAGAGAGATTAGGCCATATGGTGTAATATATTGCCTACCATTTCAATACACCATCACTGCCCCTCAGCTCAATACACTGTGACGCTCACAGAGAAAAAACAAGACTTTGAAGTAGCTTGAGCTTGCTATCGAGCCTAAAAAAGAAGAATAAAACTAGCCCAAAAGGACATGTTGGAAGCCAAGAGCCTGAACAAGGCAGCTGTTCCTGAAACCCTCTTCGCCGATCCTTCTCCGGCCAACCTCCAATCCACCCGCCTTGCTGTCCATGTATTTATATGCACCAATTTCTCCCTCGAATTCCATGTTTTTTTTGTTGGGTTCGGTTTATTCTTCAGGAATGAACGATTGGGCTGATGCAGGCAAATGGGGACTCTTCATCTTGCTGGGTTTACGTTGCTTCTGGTTGCCGCGTTTACAAACTCTTGGTACTCTCATTCCCCTTCACCCACAAAACCCTAAAACTGTATCTGCTAGCTTTTCGTTGCTGTTTGAAATGGGGCGTGGTTTGTTTTCCATTCATGTGGTGACAAGTTAGGTGTTGCTTGCAAGTTTTTAGCTTCTCTTTGCTCGAACTTCGTAGCGCTGCGTGATAAAGTTTTGGTTTTAATTTGATGTTGAATGTTTAATTTGGGATGATAATGAGGTCGAATTTGGATTTATATGCTCAAATTTTATGAAATTTTATGGTTTGTTTTTTTGTTTAGCTGAAATGGGTTGGTACCTTCTTGATGATGGTTGATGCCTCTTGGTTATTGTTTCAGATTGCGATGGAGGACTCCTCGGTTGGACAAGGAAAAGAAAGCCTTCTAATCCCGGAACACACTCAGGTACTCTTTTCACGACTCGAATGAAGAGGGTGCAAGTTTGATTCATCTGATCAAAATGAGGTGTCTTTTATGAAGGTTCTGGACTCATCATTGGTTAGCCGCTGTCCTCATCGGGCGGAAATCCAAAGCATTGTGCTTGCGGGAACTGAAAGTGAGATGTTGTATTCTTCATAGTAGCTTCCGACATTTCGTTGTTTTGCAATTGAGAAAATATTTGTAGCTGTTTTACTTTCGGAAGGAACACGTGACTTTATGCAAAATGAGAAACCTACAACTGATAATGCATGCTGTCAGCTACTGAACTATGGATAATTAAGCCGAGGAGTTTGGCTACATTTTGGTGGCCCCATGCTTGTTATGAAAAAATAAAGAGTGCAATAGTGATGAGTACTTTGTTAATTATTCTCGAGAGGCATCTGCGTATTTATTCTGATTAGGGGTCATATTAATTGACAGCAGGCATGAAGTGCTCAATATTGGGAAGTGTAGACTCTTATGGTCACCTCATTGTTGCTCCACTAAATGATAAAAATACAGGTCTGATGCCCAAAACCCATAAATGTATTTATTTTTTCTTTTAATTTATCTCCTTTTCATTTTTCCTTTATTCTCATATCATCTCTGTTCCTTTCATCAAACTTTCAATGTTGAGTCTTCTGTGTGGTGATTTTTTTTTTTCTTTGAGTGTGCCGTTGTTGATAACTAGTGCACCATTATGAATAATACATTCTAGTCAGGCTTCTTTCTTCTCCTATAGTTTTTGTCACTTTACAACGAGTTTTCCATATTGTTGACATAGATGGCTTTACATATACGGTATCTCCTCGAGATTCTGGTATTGGAGAAGGGAGTTGGGCTGGCTTGTGCTTTAATCCAAATCAATTGTGCATGGTAATTTATTTTACTGCTTTATCTATGTCGACCCCTAGATATTTACTCTGCTTTCGGTTTGACCTTTTGTCCTCATATAGTTCTTCCAGTTCATAAATTTTTCATCCCTTTGTCCTTTCTAAACCACTTTTATTTTTCCAGTTATCTGGGCACATCAACTTTTGAGTTAGAATCGATATTGTGATTTTTTCTGTACTGCTATGTACTTTATACGTTTTGGTTTCCAAAATGAAAATTGACGGTGGCCTTTTGTGGGAAAAAGTCATATATCAGTAAATATAAAATATGATAGACTCATGCACAAGTGCGAAATTTTAATAGGAGGTGATCAGTTTTTTTCTCCTTGAAGCCATTTGAAATGTCAGATTCCATGTCTCGCACAATAGATAATTTATACTGCAGTTATTCTCTTAATAATCATCGACTATTAAATTTTCCGAGCCTATTTGTACAGCCCCACTATAACAGTCCCACCTGCCTAATACCTATTACCCTTTTTTCTTTTCACCAGGTATTTATTTCGTAATTCTTCGAGAGACTAGGCATATTTATTGTGTAGGTCTATAAAAATCAGAAACTGCTGTTGGAAAAAAAAAGGGTGTTGAATATTTTTGCGTGCTCTGCAATTTTATATCTTATGCAAGAAACTTAAATTGTACAAGTTTCAATTGAGTTGGTAACATGTGCAAAATATGTATATGTTTTACTAAAGTCTTAGTTCACTTATTTATGAAACTGAGTATCTGATCATGTTTCAGGCAGCTGTGGCACGGAGTTTTTGCAAGAGCATTGATATTTATGACCAAGATATTCATCTCCGCACTTTACGTACGTGAGTATCTTAGATACATTTCCGTTTTTTTTTTCTTATGCTTTCTACTCCATCTATATTTTGAATTCCTATTTTCTTCAACTGTATCTTTTTTGCTAGACCCAAAGAATACAGTTTCTGGCTCCAATCTTTGGATCACCATAATTTGATGTTATTTATGCTCATGTAACAATGGTGACCAAGCTTGATATAAGCATTTATAGAAAAACTCAACTCCTTTAGACTGTCTTTGTTCCCATTAATAGCATTCACCTTTTAGGGCTATATGTTGCGAGTATATTGATTTGTTTCTGATCTGTAAAAATATGCATGATACAGATTATGTTATCCGTCTTCACTAACTTTTATGGGTAATTCAAGTGAGAGTGCTAGTTCAATGTTGGCCATCACAGA